TTGCTGTATAAAGAGTGACCCGCCGTAACTTTGATGACCCCTGGTAACCCCTAGAGACGCAAGTAACCCCTAGTGACAACCAGTAGCCTTGCTAACTTACCACCGAAAACTTCTATCTCACAAAGCTCCATCTCGCCTACTTTATCGGCGAACTCGAGCTCGATAGTCAAAGCTTTTATGTTAGCCATGGTGAGGTCTATGTGGTTTAGCGAACTTGATGTGAAAAATATGCTCCCTCCGTTCGTCCCATTCCAAAATCGTAGTTTGTACTCCGTATTCAGGACACGGATTTCTGTTAAAAATATTATAATTTAAGTGTTTTAGTACAACAAAGTAAAATACATTTTAAAAATAATGGCTGTGAAAATAAAATCCATCATTGGCTGTCATATATACACTAATAGTAAAAAAAAAAACACCACCATAGCGAATTGCTAAGCCAAACTCGCATTCAGATCTTATATCTGAGTCTAAGCCTAACCATAATTAAAACGTAAATATCGATACATTAGGCATGTTATTATCAGGAATATACAATTTATACGATTTTGTTTCGATTCGGCAAAAGCTCATGTAACCGAAGAAGTCACGAGTTCAAACCCCAGCTGATGAGGCTCGATAGCTTGGGACAGCCACTAATTTAGGAGAAAACAAACTCCAAAAACTGCTGCATTGTAGTTTGTTCTTGGTTGAACAAAGGATATAGAATCTAATTCAAACCGTAAAGCAGGCTGAAATTGGACTCGATAACGCATAACAAGTTGAGACGAAACATGTAATTGTGTTGTAGGGAATCACCTACAACATTTCAATGAAGATCGAAGAAGAAGATGCAAACATATGACAAGCTACCGGCAGCAAAATAGTCCATGCGATTCTCTGTCCCTGATCATAGTCACTAGTGGTCAAGAAATATATTTTATTTAATATATTTCAAATTTTCCCAATTATTACGAGGATGACCAAACTAAATATAATCAGAAGAATTTTGTTTTCCAGATTAAATCAGCAATGCCGGTAAAAATTAAATCTAAAATGTGTTTCCCTCTTCATTCTTTAGGAAAAAAGTTTATAGACAGCTATTTTGTTTTCCCGACAAAAATAAATATATGTATGCGATTATTTTCCCATCGATCATGACGAGCGATTTCAACAGAGCAACAAAAGCGTTACTGTAAGAAACAATAAAACTAAGCTTTTCCATGTGTTTTATAGAATTATACTCACAATGAACAATACACATAAACTACACTATAATAAAAATAAACCGGGAGTGATCTCCTCTAAAGTTTCTCGAAAATTCTAATATAACAATACAGGGAATAGCAAATCGGGATATAGACATAATTTGTAATACATTTTTAATTACTTAATTTGTTTTTAAATGTGAATCTCGTAGAAAAATTATTGCGCCCCAAGTGATCGCCAAATAATCTGTGTATAATGGTGCGGAATATTATTAGTACTTTATAAATTCACATGCGTTTTTTTAGAACACAGAAGTAGCGTAAATTACTACTTCCGTTAAACAGAAATTTCTAAACTTTTTAAAGACGGTGGAGCGTTAGATCTTTTATTTACATGTGAAATTTCATTTATCTATGTAAAACGGTACTCAAGTTATAGGTTTTTGAAAAATTAAAAGGAGAATAAGTTTCCACTTTCGGTAACCGGAAATAGCTGAAAAGGTGATACAGAACTACAAATTTGATATAATACTTATGTATGAAATGTCATCAACATAGCTGTAACTGTACTCAAGTTACCTTGTTCACAGACACGCATACACACATACATACATACACACACACACATACGCATAACTACAATACTTCCTCTATACTTCGTAAACGAGAAAGTAATCGTACATTTTAGAACTTACAACAAGAATCCTATCTTTTGAGCATATACTACTTCGATGTGTTTAAGTTTACTGGATAGAAGGCAAAACCTCTGAACAGAAATGCCTGTTAACTAGCATCAAGGACATATTTAAATATACTAGTATTGTGTGTCAAATATCTGAATTAACAGGCACAAAGTATACAACATTTAACAGCTAGTATAAAGGTTAAAATAATCAAATTTCGATATGTTTTACGATGCAAATTTTTTTTTCATCCAAAATGTAAGAAAAAGTGCATACAAAACCGTATATGAAATTTCAAATATATATTACTGGGTTCATAAATTCTGATTCTGTTGAAATTTGCTCTAGTAGAAAATGGAAGTTGCAATTTCTTGTCAAACATGTCACAGTGATCATCGATATTTCCATCGAGTGCAAATCCTGTTCCTATATTTGTCATACTTTTCAGTGCCAAGTTTCGCCCTGTAGAGAGACCATAAGGTTTGTAGACAGACAGTACGTTTTGTAGACAGGCAGTCAGGTTTGTAGACAGTTATATTTGTAGACAGACAGTAACGTTCGTAGACAGACAGTACGTTTTGTAGACAGGCAGTAAGGTTTGTAGACAGTTGTATTTGTAGACAGACAGTAAGGTTCGTAGACAGACAGTACGTTTTGTAGACAGGCAGTAAGGTTTGTAGACAGTTATATTTGTAGACAGACAGTAAGGTTCGTAGACAGACAGTACGTTTTGTAGACAGGCAGTAAGGTTTGTAGACAGTTATATTAGGTCGTTCCCAGGCGCCCAAAAGGGTGCGATTTGGCGCTCCGGGCTATCCCGGTAGCGCTATAGCGCATACGTTCGTTTTAAAGCTTGTGATAGAATATGGATAAGAAATAATATTATAGTCGTATTATAGTATTATATTCGTATTATAGTATTATAAACGTATTATAGTATTATATTCGTATTACAGTATTATAGTCTTTCACTAATCTGAATCAGGCGCGTGTTGTAGCTACCTGCAATTGTAGCTACTTGCAATTCGTCGCGGGCCACCCTGGGACTTTCTTTTAACCCCCCCCCCCCCCCCCCCCCCCCGAATAATCGCGGGGACGGGCACGTTAGTGCTATATCAATGGGAATCGCTCTGTTTATGATTTCAAAAAAAACTTCAAAATGTAACTATTCATTATTTTCATATAAAACATATTCTAAGAGATATACATCTCCATAAAAGAAAGTTCTTATAAACTACTCTCAAGTTTTTGAGAGTGGTTTTATGCCAAAGCTATAAAATTATATTGCCCGACTATACTGTCAATAGCATAGTAAAGACGCTGGGTTCACATATGCAAAGTTTGGAGAACAACCGAAAACCGATTCGGGGGAGAAGTGTGTTTAAAACCCAGAGGTCACTAAGGATTAAGTAAGTCAAGCATTGCGAAGCGTTTGGTTGTAATATGAACATACCCGAAAGTATAGCCGTAATATTTAAAAAAGCAAATTTAGTATAATATCTACAATTGTTTCAATAGTATTGTCATTAGACGAATGTAAGAGTGTTATATAACTTAAATAATCTTTTGTAAAGACATGATCGGAAAGTTCAATTCTCTAACGCCATCCGACACGTACTCAATTAAAACATTTTCATTAAATCCTTACCTCCACTCACGTATATTTCACAAACAAAAGACTTTGCTATGAATTGTATTTTAACATTGTTGACCAGATCCTCAAGTTGAAAATATATATCAGTAACTTGCCCCTGTGTGTAGGTTACATGTCTTAGTATGTTACATTCTTTAGATTCCTTCAAGAATTTCATCATCGATATTTTAAATGTAACTAGAGGGGAAAATGGGATACTAAATTATATATATATATATCTATCTATTAATATATATATATATATCTATTAATATATATATATATATATATATATATATATATATATATATATATATATATATATATATATATATATATAAGCATTTATGAATAAATTATATATATATATATATATATATATATATATATATATATATATATATATATATATATATATATATATACATACATATATATGTATATATATATGTATATGTATATGTATATATATATATGTATATATATATATATATATATATATATATATATATATATATATATATATATATATATTTATTTATTTATTTATAAGAAATATTTATGTATTTAGTTATATGTGGTCGAGTGGTAGAGTATACAGCAGATAACTTGTAAGTTTACGACTTTGAGACACGTTCCGTGAGTCAAGCCAACACTGATGGGTACCTTGGTCACGTTTGGTAGTCATTGTGGCAGGGCAAAGTTTTCGGCTTTGTTTATTACTTTGATCTTTGTTTCTTATTATCGTTAGTGTTTCCTTAAACCACAGTCGGGGGATTATCGTCCTGGGGGTATACCGCCAGTAGATTATCTATTTGATTATATCCCGGGGTTGTGGTACACGAACGATTTACCTTAGCAAACTATCTCCTCTTAACCCGAGGTCATAGATGAAGGTAAATTCCAATTCCCCCATGGGTATTTAAATCAAACTGGAATTCAACTTACTATACATAAATATTGGCATCTATATTAAAAAAAGCAGATTCCGCTTCACATCTAGCAATCCATTGGCAGACGACTTATCTTCTTCTTCGTTCTTAATTTTTTGTGTTGGAAGGGATCCCCCTCCAACACAACTAAGGATACGTGTCAATTGGTTATGCGCCATTGAGGCCATTGACTCCGATTTCTGCTTTCTTTTTGGATTGGCTTCCATAGCCTTTATCCAACCAAAAATAAACTGCAAGGCAGTAGTTGTTTGATTTAGGAGTTGTCTCTCCTAGAAGACCGGCTGTTCCCAGCTAACGAGCCTCATCTGCCCGAGGGTTCGAACTCGAGACTTTTCGGTTTAGCAACCATGAGCTTTACCGACTCGACCACGACGAGTTAGAGTTTATATTTTTCTTGACTTCGCCATATGAAGGATTAATGTCATCAAGACTATGCCCAGCCGACTTTACTTTCCATATTTGAATATAAAATTATATGTAATTCAGATCTCGAAATGTTTTAGTAGAAAAGTCAAACCAACATTACTAATTACGAAGTTAAAGCTTACTTTGGTTCATGTATTATACTTGCTATACTTATTACAAAAGGTGGAGTAGCAAACCTACCACGAGAAATAATTTGAATCCATTCTAATTCAAATGCTTGCTTCCATATTATGCTGAATGCTTCAATATCTGAACACGTATCGTTTTGCGAATCTGTCAATTCTGGAACCGCTGGTGTTAGGATCACGCCATCTTCTAGACTCGCAAGGTTCACTGGATTTAAAGCACGTTTGATCAGAACCATTGTCAAAATCTCTAGACATTTGCACTATTACAATGCATCATTTATGTTCCTTATAAGATAAAGTGGTGAGATATTGCGAAAACAAAAATCACTCAGCAATGTCCCGGATGTTTAGTAAAATTTATAAAGTAAGTGGACTCTTCTGACTACTAAACTTTACTTACTATACTTAAAACTGTAATCATTAACTTTCTCAAACATAAACCTAAAAAATACAAAAAACAGGCATTTTATAGTGTAAATACGATAGAAAGGAATAGTTTAGTTTTAAATGCAGGCCTATAGTTTATACGGAGAAAAATGTCGAATTATTAATGTCGATTGCCTAGAATTCACAAATAGTGAAAACGTTTTCCCGTGTTCATCACGTGGAGAGATACGTGACTATTTAATACACCTTACTACTAAGATGTTTGGTGTTTGAACTCAGTAACGGAGAAGTATATACGTGTTAAAGTGTTGTTTTTTAAATAACCATAGCGATTGCATTGGGGGTTAAGCTTGGATTTATGGAATTTCTAAAGAATTTCTTCGTTGAAAGAGAGTGTTACTTAAGTGTCCAAACGTACTTACTGTACTGACACAAAGGACCAAACCAGCCTACGTCACACCGAGAAGCGTTCAAACATGTGCCCATGTCGTCACATTGGTTGTTGATACAGTGGCACTTGAGCCGGCAAAAAGGTCCAAACCATCCAACGTCACAGCCTGAACATAGTTAATAAATAAATCTAAAAGATATACTTATAAAAGCTAAAACAGTCTTATATATATATATATAAATATAAATATATAAATAAATATAAATTTATATATATATATTATATATATATATAGTATATATATATATATATATATATATATATATATATATATATATATATATATATATATATATATATATATGGTCGCTGAAATAGTCAGCGATTTAATAGAACAATACTATTGGAATAGTTAAACCATTCTCACCAAACATGGGGCCAGCACATAAAGACAGCAATAGCAGAATTCTCCAAGACAAGCTGATATGAAAACCCATCTACGATTTTCTCTCTGTATCAAGAGTTAATCATCCTATAGTCTTAGATTTAATGAGTGCGATTGTATATTTTTCGTAGTTTACAATATATTTTAAATAAATGTTCTAAGTAATAAGATCAGCTTAATGCTTACAATAATGTGCGTAGTTAATTACTAAAAAACTTAATAAGTAAAAACCTAAACAGATCTTGTTGTTTTTTTTCTTCTATTCTCTAGGCTAGGTCTCGATTTAGAACTAGAACCAGATCTAGATCTAGATCTAGATCAAATATGTAAATATCAAATAAAACGTGAACACATATAGATCTAGATCTAGTTAAATATAGACAGAATATATTTTGAGATAAAACTTGCTAAATAATAATATTCAATCATAGTTGGTTTCGTGGCCTTTTTAGGATTAGTTAAAGTCGAAATCGTGTTAAAAAGTTAATACCAAACGTAAACAATAGCTTTATTTGAAGCAGATACCTTCTACGTCCAATGCGAATGCAAATTGGTGCAAATAACAATAACAAATTACTAAGTGCGAAACGCATTTATAAATAAAAATTTTTTACTTTCCCTGAAAGTGTATTTTAAGGAAGTAATTAAAATATAATAGAAGTATATTAGGTCACTTTTGGTCCTTGGAGCGTATTCTTGGCGGAGGAGCGGAGCAGGATGCGCAAAGGTTATATAGCAAAATACTCGGGATGGTGAGGAGCCGCAGGGACAATGAAATATAGTAAAATACTACGCCAACTGGCGCAGAGGGGATGGTGAGGAGCGAAGGGGGAAGGGACAATGACATATAGTAAAATACTACGCCAACTGGTGTTGGCGGAGGAGCCGTAGGTACAACGAGATATAGTAAAATACTCTATCTCTTTGCGCAGCGGGATGGTGAGGAGCGAAAGGGAAGGCGCAAAGACATATAGTAAAATACTCCCCCACCCTAGGGTGGTGGAGGCGTGAAGGGTGGGTCACCTTCGGTGACCTTGTGACGTAACCCATTTACCTTGTGACGTAATCAGTGACCTTGTGACGTAATCATTGACCTTGTGACGTAATCAGTGACCTAGTTACGTAATTTTAATGCGTTTTTTAATTAGTTTTAATGAGTTTTTTTTAATTTGTACTTAATATTTATTAACGAGTTACGTAATTTGATACTTTGTTTGTATTTTGTTTGTTTATTTTTATTTTTAATTTTAATTTATTATTTGATTTTAACTTTTTAAATTTTAAATTTTAAATTTGTTTTGTATTTTTTATTAACTAGTTACGTAATTTGATTTTAATTTTTAAGTTTTTTAAAAAATTTTTTAAATTTTTAAATTTTAAATTTGTAATTTTTATTAACTAGTTACGTAATTTGATTATTTGTTTGATTTAAATTGTTTTAATTTGATTGTTTACTTGTTGTTTATTTGTTTGAAATTCATTTTATGTAGTTTGATTTTAATTTTTATATTATCCAGACACAACGCTAACGTATACTTTGTGCCCCGACGTCCATTAGCCACAGCTGTTACTCATTACCAACACCTGTTACTTATCGATCCGCCCGTGTGAACCTCCCCGGCGCTGCGTGTTTTTGAATGTGAATGTATTGATCGACCCGTGTCGAATGCGTGTATCCATTAACCATCAGGCGACAGCTGTGCATCAGTTGTGCAACAGCTGGTACCCACACACGCATCAGCGATTTATGTGGGATTCGCCGAAGCAATCACCGCAGGGGTTATGGTAATTAAGCGAAAGAGCTAAGTGGTTAACCGCAAAGCGACCCGTTAAGTGTGGTAACAGCTGTTACCACTTTAATGGTTTTTACCACTCGGGTTGACAGCTGTCCAACAGCTGGTCCCGCAATTAGAGGCGCCTCCCGGGCTTTTTGCAATTACCTTGTTGGGTTTTCTTGTTCTATTACGCTACACGTATACACATTCACATATTACACACTAAAATTAAAACAAAAGTCTTCTTATATTTGATTTATTTATTAACGTTTTTTCCAAGTCATCAAAGGCTTTTAAAAATATCACGGTGTAAACTTAACAAGTGTTCAATACATATTCGATTATAGTAATATGGGTGAGAGCGTGGTGAGTAGGCGGGTGAAGGGGTGAACAGGTGGTTGAAGGGTGAGCAGGTGGTGTGAAGGGTGAAAGGTGGGTGATGGTTGAGAAGGTGGGTGAAGGGGGAACACGAGTAAGAGTAAAGGATATATAGTAAAAGACTCTACCTCCTGAGTGAGGTGGGTGAGGCGGCGGATTTTAATTTTAATTTTTTATTTTATTTTTTCATCATCTGTTAACTTTAAGGTTCTATAACTCTATATATTTAAATACATTTTTTGATTCAAACGACTTGGTACATTTAGTTCACACGTTTTAAATATTTTTTTAACTTAACAGCCTCGAACTAAAATGATTTTAGGGTTAGGGTTAGGGATAGGGATAGGGATAGGGATAGGGATAGGGATAGGATTAGGGCTTAGGGTTAGGGATATGATTAGGATTAGGATTAGGGATATGGTTAGGGATAGGATTAGGGTTGGTGTTAGGGTTCTGTGGTTGTAAACACACGCAAGCGCAGCCGCAGTACCATCGAAAACATCGCCGCGATGGCAAGTCGTAGTTTCTCTCCATTGCGCATTCGTATCTTATTCCGGCTAGCATCGGCCTTAATAAAAATCAAGAGCTAGCATATGTATGGGCACGTGCTTAATGCCCTTAATTAAAAACTGGCCACAAAGACCCAATCAGCATGCTCGTGAACTCAATAATTAATTGAGTTAATTTTAATAGGAGCTACTGGTTGTTTCCTAGAGGTCTTACACAGGGGCGTAGCGAGGGGGGGGGGGGGCGGGGGTGCGGATCGCCCCGGGTGACACCATTTAGGGGGGTGAAACCAAGGAAAAAAATAGCAAAATATATAGAGAAAAACTCGAGGGGGGGGTGCAAATCGAAAGTTTGAGGGGGGGGGGTGCACATCGAAAACTCGAGGGGTAGGGGGTGCAAATCGAAAGATTGAGGGGGGGGGGGTGCAAATCGAAAATTTGAAAGTTTCTCCCTGGGAAAGGTCTCTATGCCTCTGGGGAGGTGACACCATTAAGTGCCGCACCCGACCTCGCTACGCCACTGGTCTTACATAAGCAGGCTGTTAAGGATAGAGGGTGAGGAGATTGTGTAGGAGGTAGGTAGGAATCCCGAGTTAGTAGCTTGTCTGGTGAGAATTAGGGGTAGCACATTAGCTGCTTGTCAACGAGGTGGAGGGGGTTGAGGTGGGGATCTCGCGTTAGGGGTTGTTCTAGGGGGAGGGGTCCCATGTAAGCAGCCTGTCTAGTTGGGGAGGGTCCCACGTTAGCAGCCTGTCTAGATGGGGAGGGTCCCACGTTAGCAGCCTGTCTAGTTGGGGAGGGTCCCACGTTAGCAGCCTGTCTAGTTGGGGAGGGTCCCACGTTAGCAGCCTGTCTAGTTGGGGAGGGTCCCACGTTAGCAGCCTGTCTAGTTGGGGAGGGTCCCACATTAGCAGCCTGTCTAGTCGGGGAGGGTCCCACGTTAGCAGACTGTTTGTGGGCCCCACAGTAGGAAAACCAATCGATGTTGTTAAAGCTTTATAAGCGAGTGAGTGGTGTGTAACGTAGTTCTGTATATCACGTGGCATGTGGACACCACGCAAACCCGACATCAGATGCTCACTAGCCAACCAGAGAGAGTGGCGTAGAGAAATAGGAGAGGGGGAGGAGAAAAGTGGGAGAGAGTGAGAGTCCTGAGGCGTAGCTAGGGGGGGGGGGGGGGGGTAGGGGGGGTACATACGTCCCCGGGCGCCGACCTTAAGGGGCGCCAAAGTGGGTTGTAAAAACAAATTAAAATGCCATTTTAGCTACAATTTTGCATTATAATTAGTTTGATGGGGTTGCAAATCGAAAGTTTGAGGGGGGGGGGGGTGTGAAAATCGAAAATTTGAAGGGGGTGCAAATTGAAAATTTGCTACCGAGAAGGGCGCCAAATTGATAGTGTTTCCCTGGGCGCCGGGAAGGGTCGCTACGCCTCTGTGGAAGTCAGAACAATATGAAAGTAAAAAACCTCTTTCATTGTAAGAAGCGGCCCCGTGATTGAAGCGAGAGGGACGATTATAATAAGCAGAGAATCGGGGCTGTTTTTGTCATGATTTGGCAATGTTGATTTTTGTAAAGATGGATTTTATCAACAAAGGAAAGATTTTATTTTGTGAGCGTCGAGTGGAAGGATTTTATTGTAAAGGCAGTAATTTTAAAGTACCATAGGTGGTTGGTTAAATTAAATATAAGTTTATTGAGGAAGGAGGCGGTGATGTTTGTCTAAGGTTTGTTATTTGTTTAAAGGGGTTTGGGGAGAGCAGAATAGAGATAATTAATGTGAGAGGTATTTATTTTAGTAATTTAGTATGGCGCTTTATCATGAGTAGCTCCTTTTTTTTAATGCGGGTTATGTTTGTGTAGAACATCAAAAGAAATATAAGGGGTCATCCATAAATGACGTCACGCTTTTTTAACGATTTTTACCTCCTCCCTTCCCTCCGACACACATTTCGACACAAAAAGCCAGACCCCCCCCCCCCTAAAATGACGTCATACCTCAGCCTAAAACCCCTCTCAAAATTGTTGTTGAATTTTTCTTAAAACATCAATATTTTTCCAAAATCTTGTAAGAACTCTGTCTACATAGAGTATTTTGATCAATTCCTATTGCAATTTATTAAAACAGTTTTCTAAAACGCAAAATAACGGCTAAAACTCGTTTTCTAACATCGCTTTTTTATAATGCAAAAAAGTGACGTCACACCATCTGACCCCCCCCCCCCCCCCCCCCCCCCACCTTCCCGAAGACTATTCATTTGATAATAAATAGACAATAAGCTTCAAAGAATGTTTTTCTTTTTTCTGTATTTCTTTCTTTCTTTTTCTTTTCTTTCTTTATTTTTTGTTTTCTTTCTTTATTTCCATTTCCATTTTTATTTCTATCAATCTTT